CCCCCCAAATGTTTGTATAACTTTACAGTGAAATAGGGGAGTTGTAACCATAAGATATATCGTGGCCTGGTGGAATCTGGTACTTTTAGGGTAGGCCCTATGTAGAATTATTAGTATAATCTTAAAGCTGTTCATTTGTGTTGTTTTTGATGAAATTAAAAAAAGACCCATCCATCTTGAATACTTGCATTTGGAGGAGGCGGTCTTCTCTTAGGATCAGAGGTAACATAAGGGAGAAAATGGCTGCCAATGTTAAGTGACTTCCAAAGCTTGAGTGTCTTTGGAAACTGCATATTTGCATTTTTTGTGCCTTTCATATCAATGTCTATCAGTGAAGTCCACACAGAAATGTTTTCATAAATGGACATATAAGGTGTTTAGCCAAAAGAAAAGATAAAAATTGCTCAATGGGCAGAAAAATCCTTGTTTATTTGATTCACAAGTCTGGCCGGCGCCTGATGCCACTCATATACCGTACTGTGCATGCACATCTGTCTGTATAAAGAGGTGATCTTTTATCCATGCATTGACATACATGCTCTCACACACTACCACACACTCCACAAACTTTCCCTTTCAGAGGTGCTCTAATAGGTATATATGGGTACAAAAGGAGGTGGTTAAAGAGCGCCACTGATAGTTTTTACTTCTTTTCCCTAGCTCAGAATGACTGTATTGCATCAAGAATGCTTCACTCTACTCAATGCTTCACTCTACTCAAACGCATAATACTACAGTTTTCAATAACATGTAGGCTTACCACATATAGATAGGCATAGACACATACACACTCACCGAGGAAACAAACAGTTCATTATGGCATAGGCTCCAGGATGGCAACATATTTTTATGGTCGGGCTTACAGATATGACTTAAGGAAAATCCATGCCGCGCAGGGGTAATATGTTATTGTGAAATTTGATGTTTTAGTTTGCTAAGATGATGCATGCATTTTATGATTATCCCTGTTGTTATTGCAGTTTTTTAGAGTTTTATTTATGAGACAGGACATGTGGAATTATTTAGATATCTTGGAATTGGTGGATGGTTAGGACATCATGTCTATGATATGATAAGATAATGTGAATATGCATGCATGCATGTGCTTAAGTTGGGGGGGAGTGTATGGTGTGTGTGTATGTTAGGTTTGAGTGTTTGCATGTGTGCATATTATATTTTCTTTTTTTTTTGTTTTCTACAGTTGCGTATACTTCTACCTGCTTGATGAGGAGTATTCAGAGCAAAAATCAAAGATGGTCTCAAGATCTAGTGATGCGTTAGATTTTGTCAGCGAGTCACGGAGGTTGCAGGTGAAGGCTTGTGCCGATAAAATCTTCCCAGCTAACATCAGCATGCGACTCCGGATCACGGCCATTGGTGAGTGCCTTCAGGGACTGAATAAGTATCAGTGCTGTGATCCCGAGCTCATTCCTGTACATACATTTTCTTGACCGTTCTGCTCGACAAGTGCACACCTGAGCATGCAGCAGTGTAAATCTAGCCATTGGTCTAATTTAGCTCAAGTGGAAGTCACAGCCAACATCAGTCTGATGATTTTAGCTTACACTGGGTATTTTAAAACTTTATTTTATTATTTTATTAACTGAATGTCAATGGAAAGCATCTACAAATGCTGTTTTAAGCATTCGGTTGAAATTTTTACTCAACTGGGTTGTTAGTTGTGTTTGTCCTGTTTTTTGTTTTTTCCTGCTTTCTCTAAAACTTCATTTGGGATACTTAGTATTATTTGGGACTCTTATAATAGATTACTTTGTTTCAAGGGTTCACATTTTTCCACCACCATTCTTTAGCTGGTATTGTTAGTGTTGTAAGTCTTGATCTCTGTCCCTGAAGAATTTCTTAAAACACCTGATCTTAATGTTGCATATTTTACCTTTTTGACTTTTTTCCATTGTCTACTTGTTCTGTGCCATATATTCTTCCGTTTCTCATTCTTTCCATAATTAATGATAATCAAAGTGGTAGAGAAAGCCCTTAGTTCAGGGAGGGAGATAGAAATAACCCTATGCCTTCATGCATTACCATCATGCATTACCACATTTAAATGCTCAATGCTTTTATTTTAGCCATCAATATCTGATTGTTGTATTTGTTCTTCAGAGAAAATTGAATACCTGAATGAAGCCGATTGGTCCTACTCTGCTAGAAAGACCTTCAAGAGCCCATTTTTTCCAGAGCCTTACAAGCCTACTGATGAGACCTACAAGTACCAGATCTTTGCTCGACCTGGCTACCCATACATTGTTGTTATTTTTGATGATTGGGTTATTTCCCCCTGCTCTAACGTCTCGGTGAGTTGTTAGGCTGTTCATTTTCAGAGGCTCTTACTTCTCTTTTGGTTACAGTAAAAGATATGATGACTGCTCTCTAGCAGCGTATGTTTAGTGACTTGACACATAAATGCAGTTTTCATGTGTGTATGGGATACATACATGCATGTCTACAGGGAGATACTGGTAGGTTCTACTTCTTGTTATCTTCATGGGTTTTTTTCTGTCTTGCTTTTCCCTGACACTAAATAATTAAGTGATTTTTATAAATGTGCTTACCAAAACAGCAAATAGTATTTTTTTAATGTTGTATCATGACCTTTTTTTTCCCCTTCTGAACTTTATATTCTTTCACTTCTTTAAAACACTAGTGCATGCCTCTAAAATGACCTATTTATGTGTAGAGAAGATTGTTCAGCTGATATTTTATTTGTTGACTGGTTGCCGATTATTTGGAACCAAATTCTGTTGATATGATCGTGGGGATGCTCTCAGCAATCAGACTATCGTGTGGTTCTTCTTTACTCTCACGCTCTCATTTCTATTTGTTGATGTTACTCTTTCTTAGTACTTAACTGTTATGTAGTGCTACTGTCACTATGTCGTTTTTGTCAGTCGTACTATTTCTTAGTCCGAAACGTCTATAATATATGAGGCATCCTGATGAAATCAGACACTCGCCAAAGTAATTAAATGAAAGAAATTAGCTTTTTTTGGCTGATGGGCAATTTTTTTCGAATTTTTTTTTTTTTTTGGCTCAACACCTTTTATGTCCATTAAAAAAATTTTTTGTCTACACTTTACTGATAAACATTGATTAAAGGTACAAAAAATGTAAATTTTCAGTTTTGAAGGATTCTCAGGCTATGGAAGTTACCAAACTTTGGCAGCCATTTTCTCACTAATTTAACCTCTGAAACCTGTGGACCCTGATCTCTTTCGGTCGCAAATATTTCGACTTATATTCAACAAAGAAAGATATTTTTTTCTCCGAAAGGAAAGCAAATGAACAGGCTTTAAGAGGATACCAATAACCGCCTATGCCCAAAAACTGACGAGCGCCTGATTCCACCGCGTCGTGACACATATATTAATAAGTCGTATTGATGTGCCCTTGTTTACTTCAACTAGAGCAGTGTCTGAGAATTAAATTCAATATTGAATGAATAATGTGTCGTTTTCTCTCTCAGGTTATCAATGGCACCTTTTATGGGGCAGACGCCACACTTTGTGATAGTATGTTCCACTGTTGCCCAATTCCACGACGTGCAATCCAGTCCACAGAGCCGGTGATGACGTTCATTTTTAAAACTGGAGAGAACAGACTCTCTGGACATTTTAACTTTTACAACGGCTTCAAAGCTACAGTCTATTCTTACTCCAGTAGGTTATCTTTATTGATGTGAATTTTCATTTTTTTCTTAGAAAGAGATTATTTCTGACTTTTGAGGCAGGTTGTGTAGGTGAATTTTTTTTATCTCTAGAAATTTATCTTACACAATCTAGAGGGGCTTTGATTTTGCTCTTTGGGGATTACTTGCATTCTGCTCAAAGTTCTGTCAAATTCAGCTGTGGTCTGCTATGCTGTTATGTTAAATATACCATAAGCATTGGAGTATTTAAGATCTATTCCGGCTTTCGTATTTTGTTGGTGATATTTGAAGCATTTTCCTTTTTGAGTACAAAAAGTTGTAATGTTATTAAAGTGGCCCCAGCCAAGGAGATGGGAGCAGTTTACTGGGTTCTAATCTTAAGGGTTATCTCTGTTTTGTCCACTGTGTACCTTTTTTCGTAGATCCTTTATCCTTTTTTTTTCCCTGTACATTTCCTCATCGTAAATGTTGCTGAGTTAGAAAAATATTTTTAGACATTAGATTTTTGTGGCTGTGTGTTGTGAATTCATCATTATTAGTGCGTGAGTACTCCATTGTTTATTAGATAATTCAAGGTGATAAACTGAATGAACCTCCTTATTCTGTTCCTTTTTTTATTTTAACTTTCTTCTTTCATTTTCATGGTGTTGTTTGATGGTCCTACTGGTCATGTCTTATTTGTCCTCTTTTTGTGCTTTTTCTTCTATGAGTATACAAAATGAGCCTATGCTATAGAAGCTAGAACTCTCTGAGAAAATATATTGGGTTTTTTATTTTTTGTATTCCTCAAATTATAACCTTTGATATCGACGTAAAAACTAGTATGATTTACTTTCCCCAGACATTGGCCAAGTCCCTGATATCCGCACAGGTTGGTAAAACTCTCAACACAGTGACTGTATGGTTCAGTTCCTTTCACACTTTTGTCGTGTATTTTTTTAGAAAACAAAAAAACAAAAAGTGTCAAAATTAATTCATGATGTCATTAATATGAGCTATTCAGTCATTTTCATTGCAACATATGTAAATGTGTTTGTGTATGTGTGTGTATGTTTGTGTGTGTGTGTGTGTGTGTGAGAGAGAGAGAGACGGAGAGAGAAAGACACAGAGAGAGAGAGAGAGAGTTTTTGTGTGGGTTGATGAGTGTGTGTGCATATATTACTATTATGTTGCATGCTGCTAACAATTTCTCTTAGTTGAGACCCGGAAATATTCCTTAATCTTGACTTGTCTTATAATATCTTATAACATCAAACTTGCTAATTTCAACTTAATTTGTTTGTATCACTTTCCATCTAGTGATAACTTTAAATAAACAAACTTTTAATTTATATGTGTTATGACATGGTGGAATCAGGCACTTGTCTGTTTTTGGACATGTGGAAATATTGGCATCACCTTAAAGCTTGTTCATTTTTCTTGCTTTCAATGAAAAAAAAAACCCAGAATATCTTCAATAGAAGTTGAGATATTTGCAATTGAAGGAGATGTAGGTCGCCTGAATTTAGAAGTGAAGTTAGCGAAAAAATTTCATAGCTTGATTGTCTTTGGAAACTGAAAATTTACAATTGCTGTGCCTTTATAATCAACGTTTGCCAGTAAAATCTACGCAATGTTTTTTTTAATGGACTTAAAAGGGGTTAAACCAAATTTTAAAAATTCAATAAAAATTGCCAAACTGGCGGGAAATTTCCAGTTTCTTCGAATTTATCATTTTGAGGAGTGCTTGGTTTCACCACGATGCCTCACATATTTGAATGGAAAGTTTTTCCTTTGTGGTTTTTCAGATTGTGGAGGTATCATCACAGACCCGGGAGATGCCATCAGTCTTCTGTACGAGGCTGATGGCCATGACCGGGACTGTATATGGATCATCAGGGTGGCAGATGGTTATCAAGGTGTATATGTGAACCTTATTGAATTTGATGCTTCAGGTGAGATACAGATGTAATTTTTTTGTTTTACCGTTGGTAAGTTGTTGTTGCATTGTAGTCATAAAAATCCTGCGAGGATGTTCGACTAATTACAGAAGGCATGGGTCTCTCTGTGAGATGAATTAGATGTTGAAGAGTGCTCATGAGTGTCTTGTGTGTGAGACAAAAGTGAAAGGCTTAACTCCTTTTCCTCAGCAAGCAGCACCCACCCAGCGGCTTTTAAAAGAATAAAAGTTTGGAGGCAGCCCAATTTTTGACAGGCAGCCCAAGGAAATAACGTGCCATGTCGTGTACCGAGAAAGGTATTATGTTTTCCATACCTTGAACCAAAAAAAACAACTGCAACATTTGAATGTACTTCACACCTTCTTTTCATTTTTCAGGAAGAACGCAGTCTGATGGGTTCAGCTCCACGACTCCACGCTCTTTGGAGATTCGCGGTGGACTAACTTCTGCGGGTGCCAAGCTGTCTCTCCAATCCTCTCACATCTCGGGCACAGGTTTCTATGTTCGCCTTCGAGGAACATACACACAGGAGTCTACTATTCTTCTGGCTTATTCTTCTTACACATATGGTGAGTGTAACACACTAATTATTTTACTTACTTACTTTTATCCACCGCTTATACCCTTTTGGGTGTCGCTAAGTAATTAGAGATATAAATACATATTTACAGTTGAACTGCCCGCTGAAAGCTGGTAATATCCTCCCTTTTTCACCAGCAGGGCTATTCTCCTTTAACCCCTTACTCTGCTGTGCCGGTGAGCTGCTTGCTGCGGCTGGGGCTGATTCCTTGGCCATTTATTGCCTTTCTACAGACTGCAACAAAAGTTAAAGACCACTCGCATACACCCTCGCAGCACAAACAGATATAAAGCAAAACATTTGAAATTTCAAAAGTTAATGGAATCATTTCTTAATAAAATCAATTCAATTTCAGAATGATGAAGTTACGAACTTAGGCAATATGTCGCTCGGAACAACAGTACCCTTCAAAAGAAAAATCCAGGAATTGTTGTCCATCACAGTCCGTCCAAAAATGGGTGTACCCACCACGCCGAGCAATGCAATCAAGGCAGTGTCGCCTCATGGTGTTGATGGTGGTGGCAATGAAGGCCTGAGGAAGGTTTGCCCACTCCTGCTGCAGGATCTGTAGCAGCTCTCGTCAGTTAGCTGGTGGTGACTGGTGCTGCTGGATTCTCCGGCCAAGTTCACCCCACACATTCTCAATGGGGTTGAAGTTGGAACTTTTTTGCTGGCCATGGCATTCTTATGATCCCTATTTGTGAGGCAGCGTGGTGGAATCAGGCTCTCGTCAATTTTTGGGCATGTAGAGTTATTGGTATTATCTTAAAGCTTGTTCAATTGTCTTTATTTGAATGAAAAAATATCCATTTATCTTGAATACAAGTCTCGATATTTGCAAAAGAAGGAGGTGGGGGTCATCTGTTTTCAGAGGTAAAATTAGTGGGAAAATGGTCGCCAAAGATTACTTATTTCCTTAGCTTAAGAGTCCGTGGTAACTGAAAATTTACATTTTTTAGGCCTTTTATCAACGTTTTTCGAAAAATCCAGACAGAAATGAATTTTTTAATGAGCATGAAAGATGTTGAGCCAAAAAACAAAAATTTGATAAGCATTCACAAACCTGCGGAAAAATGCAAGTTTCTTCACTTTGATTATTTCGACGAGAACCTGATTCCACCATGGTGCCTCACATTTGCCTGATGTGGATGCCGCCACACATGCACATCTTTTGGGTTGACCATGAATCATGACTCATCTGTGAACTACACATGGCCACCATTGGGCTTGGGTCCATGGTTCATGGGCCCTGCACAAAGCGAGATGATATGCCTGGTGTCCTGCGGTCAGCCTAAGTTTCTTGATTGGATGCCTGGCACGTATGTTGCAAGCATGCAGACAACGCTAAATGGTCTGGGAGCTCACCGCCGTGTTAGTAGCAGCACGCTTGTGATGCCTGATGGGCTGTTGGCGGTCGTTGTCCTCTGTTGCAAGGCCTGCATGCGGAGGTATCGGTCCTCTCTCTGAGTGGTCTTCTTGGGTCGACCTGCATGTGGGCGTTCTTGGACTGATCCAGTGTCTTGATGGCGCTGCCTCAGGCGGACAATGACAGAGTGTGACACTGCAAGCCTTCCGGCAACTTCTCGGACTCCAACTCTGTCATGCAGCCATGCCGTAGACCTGGCATGATCAAAGTCTCTCAGCTTTCGTCTTGGTGGCATGTTGATGCGATACTGGATTTTGTGCAAACGGTGGCTTATATTGCCACTAAAGTGTGCACAGTCCGAGACGATACGTCCATTTATCAGGTGCACCAGAAATTTTAACTGAGGAATGTCCATGGTGTCGCTCACAATAAAAAACAGCAAATTTGGCTAAAAATCCCCAAGGATTTTTGTGCTGCACGTGGTTGTTTTGCCCCTTTAGGAAGCTTTGCAGTACGCGTTGGTGACCCGTGAACACTTTCAGAGCAAACAATTGTAAAACATTCATTGCTGTCTTTTTTTTCGGATTAAAAAAAAAATTAAGGCTGTCTGTCAAGGTGATCCTTAACTTTTGTTGAAGTCTGTATTATAATTCTACAAATTTATAGGGATTGATAGTGATATGTTCTTACACTGAGACGGTGGCTGGAGCAACTTTCTGGTTCGTAATGTAGATGGGGTGCTTCCACAAACAAACCAGTCTTTTCCGGAGTGATTTCTAATGATTGCTAAAGTGGGCTGGTTTTGTTGGTAGGAAATGTATAATATTTTTTCTACAAAGAAAAGGATTCCCAGATGTAAAGTTGTCTATTTGTGTTTGCCCTTACCTTGCTGGATAGGCTTGAAAACTGATTTGGGAAAGGGGGGGGGGGACTAAAAGTAAATTAATTGATTTGTTTTCTACACTCTGTTCACATCATCTCAAGCAAAGTCAATTAATGTAGGAAGAATAAATAGTGTGGCCTTTATTAATCCACTTGTACATCACCTATGCCATTTATTCTCCTTCTGACAGGCTGCTCATCCCGATGGGACTATTTCTTGTGCAAGAACAAACGATGTATCCTGGAGCGGCTGACATGTGACAAGGTTGACCACTGTGGAGACAATTCTGACGAAGTCTGGCCTCAGTGTGGTAAGTGTGCTGTTCCCGAATGTCCCACTGATGACTGCTGGACCGTGATTGTGAACAGCTTAAATGTGGTCAGCAATGGCGTTTTAATGCTTGCAATCATATATTGTATTATCTGTGCTTGTTATTTTGTTGTAGTAAAAAGTTTCCTTTGTGGCTAAGTAATATATGGCATCTTTTTTTTGTTGTTGTGGATATTGACTAGAATGGACATTTCTTGAATGATCAGTTGTATAATAGAATATGTTCAGTGCAAGTAGCTGTGTACAACCAGTGAACACCAGTGGTTTAGTGACAATTCCATGCTATTACGAAGGTTTCTGGCAGAAATATTTCATGAAGAATAAAGAGTTCTCTTTTTTTTTTAGAAATCGTTTTGATAAAGCTAAGGATTTTGGATTTTAAAATATTTTTGTTTTTATTTTTTCTTAAAATGAACCAAAGGTCAAAGATTATAACAATGCTGATCTTGATATTTCTGTAAAAACTGTCTAAATGATGTGTAGAGAAAGATTTATTTATGTTTACTCATTATCTCCTGCAAACCACTCCTAACGGATTGCTGTGAGAACCACAGTGCCGGTTAGCCGCTAGCAGCAGCTAGGGCACATTCCTGTATGACAACTTCGACATTAAATTATTTTTCAGCAATTGCCGAAAATAGGTCTCTATTACTGGGAGTTCTTTCATTTGATAAACAACAATCAAAATATGTTTACTTGTTTTGACTTAATGATCTAGTGAACGCATTTCACTTGTATAGATTTTGTATCAAAAGAGGGTCTTGGCATAGTGGGTTTACCCCCCCCCCC